ATATCCAACCTCTGCAATTTTAGCCCATATAAGCATATAGGCCATATTTGGCCCATATAAGCATATGAGTATATATATATATTCTAGAACTCCCTCAAACCCTAATCCCCATATAAGCATATTTGGAATGAACCAATGAGGCATCTGATCTATTTCAACTAGCTTGACCTGGATATATTTCTGTTTTGCTGCTCTATTGTTGATTTGTTTTGCTGGAAGCTATTATATTTTGGTGTGTGAACTCGGGTATATTGTTGGGTGCGGGTTACCCGTCGGGTGCGGGTATGGAATGAATTTTCTACCCGCCTGTGGGTACGGATAACCCAACGGGTAAGATTTTGATCTGGCGGGTGCGGGTACGGGTGGCCAATACCCATCGGGTACGTACCCATTGCCATTTTGACTTGGAGCTGAGGATCTACCTCCGCCGAGCCGAGGAAGCCAAGATCTTCACCCGGATGCTCGAGGTGCAGCTCGCTGAAGCGCATGCTAGTGCTGCAGCTGCCGAGAGCCAAGAGACTACCATGTCGGAAGCTCTGAAGGAGGATGAAGATCGGCATGTCCATCAGCTGCATGAGGCCTATCTTGTCACCAGGGCCAAGCAGAGGACGTTGGCTGCTAAAAGGCAGGATGCCCCGATCTTGGAAGGGATCCCTATCCACCCACCAGAAAGAAGAAGAACCGGTGTTGCAGCACCACCAGCACCTCCACCCTTAGAAGTGTCAGATGTAGAACCCTTGATTCCTCTCACTCAGCCATTGCCATGAGAAGATGCAGATCCGTAGCCTGGGCGGTTGAAGAATCCGCCAAGCCCGGGATTGAAGATGCGTGGTCCTGAGTAGATTAGTTGCCTTGGGATGTTGTACCCGTAGTAGTAGTGCTTGCTGTCGCTGTCCTCCGGTATTGTACTCCGGTCGTTGTTGTTCGTCCGTAGTTGTTGAGATCGTTTGACCCTAGGTGAGTGCTGCGCCATGAATGGGAGCCTGAACACCATGAACGTTCGACCCGTAGTAGTAGCGCAGCAGGCGTGGATAGGCGCAGTAGCTTGCGCAGCAAGCGATGTAGGCACTGATGTCTGAACGGGGTCTAGCGCGCGGACCAGCCACGTTGTTTTTCCCCTCAAAATGACCTTTCATTTTTTTACTCCTAGTACTAGTAAAACTATGATTGTTTTAAAGTGCTAGTAGAGTAGTAAAACTATGAATATTTTTCTCCGCCTCCGGAGAGCTCTATTTCTTATTGATGAATATGGGTTGTTTTTCTTTTTTTTTTGTTATGAATGAATATGAGTTGTTGGGTGTGCAACACAAAGCCAACAGTAGGAGTTTCCTCGTGCTCCAAGGTATGTTATCAAAAGCTTTTACTATCTGGCCGTAGAGCTCTTCTTATAGTCATTTTAAACTTTAATTATAATTTTAATCTTATCATTTTTAGTTTTGTGATTTTACTTTCACTTTTTTAAAACAAAAGTAATCAATGTGATTTACCTTTATTTTGTTAACTTCACGAGTTTACTTCACTTTTTTAAACTGAAGCTCGCCCTCCTTTTCGATGCAAACACCACATATGCACCGCTCTCTCTGGTGACCCAGTGTTCTTTGGATTGTTCTAGATCTCGATAGGATTTGTTGTTGCCTTTGCTCCATCATCGAAACATGTACTATGAATCATATCGGTGCAGAAAGTGACCAACACGTTAATATTTGTAGTTTTGCCGTACGTTGTGATCGGAGGTGGCCTAGCACTCAATGACACAGGGTTTATACTGGTTCAGACAACATGCCCTACGTCCAGTTTGAGTCGGTCGGCGACTTTATTCCTGAGCCTAGGTGCTCGAAGTTTGCAGTGGGGTTACAAACGAGAAGGAGAAAGATGGGTGGTACAAGAGGTCCGGTCGGACTCTGGTCAGAAGGGCCGAGAGTGACGGGAGCTCCGCTATGAGCTAAGTGTTCGAGCGTGTGCTCGTGGTTTGAACCTGGTGGTTCTGTTGCTGTGTCCTAGTGAACTTGATCGATCTGAATGAATCAACTTATCTGTTGGAAGAGAGCGCATCCTCTTTTATAGATAAAGAGGATGGCCTTATAAGTGAGTGGGAGGGAATACGTTCGCTGCTAAGTCTTGCAGCCCACGTCGGCGGGTACAAGACGATGGTAGGTGCCCACAATACTGTTGAATGTTAGATGCACGTGGGAGGTTGCGTCGTCTTGTTCAGGTATGGCAGATGTTGATACCTGCTATACTGTTGATGCCTAGAGACATGTGAGGGGTTTTACCGTGTTCGCCTACTACGATAAATGCCGGCGCCCGCAACACTGTCGATGCCTCAGAGGCACGTGGGGGAGCCTTACCGTATTTGTCTGGTATGGGAATTGATGGCGCCCACAATACTGTAGGGGAAAATGTCGACGCCTATAATACTACTTGGGTACTGTTCTGCAAGTGCATAGGGTACGGTCCCTGGTATTGCGGTTGACTTGAGTGCCCTGCCTTACTTTTCTTCATCCGTTTCCTGGTCCTTTTCGAGCGGGCATCCCCGGTCGGTTGGTCCCAATCGGCTCTGATTGCGTTAGTTGGAGAAGAGCAGTGAGCAGGGGTTTGGTGCAACCCCGGTCGGAGACGTGGGTCGGAGTCGGAAGTAGTGTTTGGCCAGGCCTTCCGGTCAGAGAGGCCTTCCAGAGGCGGGCTAGAGACTGAAGCGAGTGCTTCCGGTCGGAGAGGCGGGATGAAGTCAGAAGCGGGCGCCGTTCCTCCTCGGCCAGGCCTTCCGTTCGGTGATTGGATCGTCCTTCCGGCCTGTCGTTTAGGTACTTGGGCCGTCCCATGAGTTACGCGTTGTTTGCAACGTTGTCTGCTTGTGCCGAGCCTTTGTTGGAAAGCCGGTCCACGAGGGACCCCGGGTTTATGAACCCGACAAATCAAGACCCTTACTTTTTTAAAAGGTTTTTGTGTCCACAAATTTTAATTTACACCCCCCTCAAATTGCAATAAATTTTAAAATTATGTCCACTGTCAAAATTCAGTTATATTTAAAATATGTGGACAAAGCCCTAACAAAAGCTACGGCAAATGTGCAAGGGCAAATTTGTCTTAGCTCCTTTGACACTGCTTAAGTGCCATTGATGTAATGTGGGCAATCTCGAACTTCAGCTTTGAAAAGGTAGAGAGAAAATCATAAAGTTGAAAAACGAGGACAAAGTCATCAATCGCCTTTGAAAGTAGGAGCACGAACACAAAAAGCTTTGTTGTTATTGTAAAAGATAGACACCAAAGTTGTGCATCAAATATTATTGATACTCAAAGCTTCTTAGAAACAAAAGGAATACAATTTCATAGAACTAAGCAATAGAGCAGTATATACTTCTCCTTCTTAGTGTCTATAAGGTTGGTAAAATGCTAGATCATCATACTTGTACTTGTCAAATTTCAAGACTAGACAAAACTTTGGAACCATATGTGCCCATATCCAACATGTTGGAGACATACAAGCTTTAAAAATTATAGTAAAAGTTTATCAAAACATTCCTTATATATATAATAGCAGTTTTTTCTTACAAAAACATGTTGTATTTTGTAAGAAATTATTACCTCCTACTCACAAAAAATTCCCATACTATGGTTAGATTGTGACAAGGTCTTTTTAATAAAGATTACCCTTGCAACATGTAAGGATAGATGAACTCATATCTTTTTATGAAAGTACACTAGCAATAATGTAGACATTCATAAGTAGACATAAACACCCTTGTGAACATCCACATACACACTGCTGCTCCTAGCCATGTGTAATGTGTATGGAGGATTGGACCAGTACGAGATTAACAAAAAAAACATGACAAATGTGTCGCTAATATGTTGTCTGTCACTAACAAAAATAGCTAGTCCCTCCATTCAAATTTATAAGACATTTTGACTTTTCTAAATACATTGCTTTTACTATGTATCTAGACATAGCGTATATCTAATCTAAGTGTATAAGCTACGCATGTTCCAAACATCAAGTATATAGTTTTTTATCCAAACTACTGAATTGTGTATCCAAACTAGTGGATCGATGAAAGAGAGAAATATAGGCTCCCGGATGAGATCCAGGCTTTGCTCTAGTTCGAGCTTCTCGTTTTCTATATTTAGAATTTCTTAAGGAATGATTGCAAGTATTGCAGCGACATCTATGGCTCTGACTCGTTCTTTCTTGTCCCGCAAAATAGAGAGTGCGCCGAAGCTTCTATTTATAGGTGAGCCTATTCTTTAGCAGAAGAATTTTTTATTAAAAGTCCTTTTTTTAATAGACTGTCTTCCATGAGTGTAAAAAACAATGAATCTCTTGAGTTCGGCTCGCTCGGGTATCGACATGTGGCGTAATCCTGATGCAATAATAGAGTGAATAATTAAAAGAGTACTCCGATACGAGCTGTGAGAAAGTACACCTAGCCAATCCTCACTCGATGGCTCCGCCCTTGCTTAGGAAAAAGTCATATAGATTTAAAAAAAACCCAAAGTATCTTGTACTTTGGAATGTGGGGAGTATATAACACATGGCATCAAATATGGAATCTTTTGATCTTAGCCTGTTCGCTTGCTTGTAAACGATCGTAAATTTTCAGTCGGGAACAGTATTTTTCTCTCACACCAAACCAGCCAGCAGTAAATAATCCACGATACGATACGGCCTCCCGAACAGGCGTGTCTGTTGCGCACGTATGTATCTCACTGAATTATTCGTGAATCGTGAGGTCCCCATCACAACTCACCAGCTGATCCACAAGCAACTCATAAGAAAGTTATCGCCCAGTCAGCTTCCATCTCACCTGTACACTTCCAGATCAAACGGTCCACTTGCGACGGTTGGCGACACACACAACCGCAGCACAGGCTCCTCTGCAAGTCTGCATCTGAAATATCCTGCCAGCTGCCGCGACAACGACAAGATCCAAGAACTCGCTCGCGCGTACGGACGAGTCCCGCAGCCCGGAGATCGAGACTGATCGACAGTCCGAGACGCCATGAACGTGGAGGAGGAGGTCGGGAGGCTCAAAGAGGAGATCCAGAGGCTCGGCCAGCAGCAGCCCGATGGCTCCTACAAGGTACCCCCTTCCCTGTCTGACTCTCCCCTCCGGTCCGGAGCCGCCGCAGATCTGAGCCACCCGCGTCGCCGCGTTTCCCTTTCCTGTGCTGTACTGCCATCTCCAGGATGGCCCGCACCAGGATTCCTCCCCTTCTCTCGATGCTTAGGGCAATGTGCAGTATGATCTGCACAGACCAGTCATCTGCCGTGAAGCTGCGATGGGCGATCGAGTCGAGGCATGGAGAGGCCGTTGCCGAGTTGGCGGACTTTGAGAGATCATCTTGTGGCGCCGCTGATGGGTAATATTTAGCAGGGTCTTGCTCAAATATGAAGACATTTATCCTGACGGTCTGGTGGATGCTCGAAACGATATGCGCAGTGCAGATCCCCAAATGTGCGGGCCTCTCGCAGTTACGTAGTCGGCTAGTGGACCTTGTTGTGAGCATTGGCGCCGAACTGATGATATTGCAACTGAAAGATGATCCTTTCAGTCGTTTCCATTGTGGGTAGCATTTTGTGTCGGTTGTGGTGAGATGATCAACATAAGCTTATGAATTCGTAATTATCCCCTATTCCATGGAACTGACTGAATGCGAAAATTTTAAGAAGCCTGAATAAATGGAAACTCTGTTTACAGTGTCCTACTTGCCCTAGTTAAATGTTGGCCTGTGTCCATATATGTCACATTCATAATGAAGATGTTCAATGTCATTGTGAAAAGAAGAGTGTTAACAGATCAACGACACAGAGTTCTTTCATATCACAGATATTTGTTTCTTTGACCACTATGAACCCTGTTTATTGGAGAATACTCTCCAAATTCAGTAGAATTCTCCCATCTAGGTTATTTTGGTTACTTATCTATTTTTGTTTGCTTAATAAAGTAACATGGAGTTAATATTCCTTATGTGTAATCGTGTGTTACCTTCTACTTATACAACAACAACAACAACAAAGCCTTTAAGTCACAAACAAGTTGGGGTAGGCTAGAGTTGAAACCCATCAGAAGCAATCAAGGTTCAGTCACGTGAATAGCTGTCTTCCAAGCACTCCTATCTAAGGCTAAGTCTTTGGGTATATTACATCCTTTCAAGTCTCCTTTTATTGCCTCTACCCAAGTCAACTTCGGTCTTCCTCTGTCTTTCTTCACGTTACTATCCCGGCTTAGATGCCACTACGCACCCAAGCCTCTGGGGTCTCCGTTGCACATGTCCAAACCATCTCAACCGGTGTTGGACAAGCTTTTCTTCAATTAGGCGCTACCCCTAATCTATCACGTATATCATCATTCCGAACTCGATCCTTCTTGTATGACCGCAAATCCAACGCAACATACGCATTTCCGCGACACTTAGTCGTTGAACATGTCGCCTTTTTCAGAGGCCAACATTCTCGCACCATACAACATAGCAGTGTCTAATCGCCGTCCTATAAAACTTGCCTTTTAGCTTCATGGTACCCTTTTGTCACACAGACACCAGACGCTTGCCGCCACTTCATCCACCCCGCTTTGATTCTCGTATTAACATCTTCATCAATGTCCCCGCCCCTCTCAGTAGCATTGATCCTAAATATCGAAAGGTATCCTTCCTAGGCACTACTTGACCTTCCAAACTAACATCTTCCTCCTCCCGAGTAGTAGTGCCAAGTCACATCTCATATACTCGCTTTTAGTTCTCACGAGTCTAAAACCTTTGACTCCAAAGTCTCCCGTCATAACTCCAGCTTCGATTCACTCTCGTCCGGCTTTCATCAACTAGCACTACATCGTCCACGAAAAGCATACACCAAGAGATGTCCCTTGTATGTCCCTTGTGACCTCATCCATCACTAAAGCAAACAAATAAGGGCTCAAAGTCGACCCTTGATGTAGTCCTATCCTAATCGGAAGTCATCCGTGTCTCCATCACTTGTTCAACTCTAGTCACAACATTGTTGTACATGTCCTTAATGAGCCCGACGATTTCGCTTGGGACTTTATGTTTGTCCAAAGCCCACCACATAACATTCCTTGGTATTTTATCATAAGCCTTCTCCAAGTCAATAAAAACCATGTGTATATCCTTCTTCTTCTCCCTATACCGCTCCGTAACTTGTCTTATTAAGAAAATGGCTTCCATGGTTGACTTTCCGGGCATGAAACCAAATTGGTTCACAGAGACCCGCGTTATTGCTCTCAAGCGATGCTCGATAACTCTCTCCTAGGGATGAAAACGGATCGGATACGAACGGATATCACTCATATTATATTTGTTTTCATATTTCTGTTCGGATTCGGATTCGGACACGGATAGCGTTCGGATACATATACGAATATGGATTGACTCGGTTACGGATACGAATAATGAGTATCGAATACGGTATGAATCGAATTCGGAGAAGGTCGAATACAAATATCTATTCGGATATTGAGTAAAAGCAGCATATATATATATATATATATCATACGTGCGCAAACCATTACACCACTCTATGAGTCCATAATCTATCTAGATTAAGCCGAAAGACTAAAGAGTAAAGCAATAAATAAGATAAAGATACAGATACATCATACATCAAACATCATACAAGCACCAATCTTCGCGGCATGAGTAGAAATAGCCAAGCTCATGGCTTCATGGGTCTCATGGAGTCATGGTCATGGATTCAAGATCTACAATCCTTATATAGGCCATTTTTTTATTTGAGAAAGTTTGAACAAAATGTAGTTTAAATTTCACAAGTGTGTGACATAGTTTTAGAAAGTCTATGAGATTCAAGAATTTGTGACTAGTGTTTGATAAAACTTTCTCAAATGAGAAAATGAGCTATGTAACAATTGTAGATCTTGCTGAGATGATCAAACTTGGTATTCAGAGTTTTTTCATCTGAGGTCATTTAGTGTCTCATTTGAGCAAGTTTGACCAAGTCAAATTTGGTCAAATGAAAAAACAACACTTTGACTCTAGTATTATGAACTCTAAATGACTTCAAATTGAAAAGTTTTGAATACCAAGTTTGTTCAACTCATCAAGATCTACAATTCTTATTTTGGTCAACTTTCCATTTGAGATAGTTTGGACGGTTCAAATTTGTGATTTTTAAATTTTTATGCTTACAAACTAGTTTTCGGAACCCTAGATTGTCTTAAATTGAAAAAAGTTTTGAATACCAAGTTTGTTCAGCTCATCAAGATCTACAATTCTTATATAGGCTATTTTTTCATTTGAGAAAGTTTGAACAAAATATAGTTCAAATTTCACAAGTGACATAGTTTCAGAAAGTCTGAGATTTAAGAATTTGTGACTAGTGTTTGATAAAATTTTCTCAAATGGGAAAATGAGATATGTAACAATTGTATATCTTGCTGAGATGATCAAACTTGGTATTCAGAATTTTTTTATCTGAGGTCATTTAGTGTCTCATTTGAGCAAGTTTGACCAAGTCAAATTTGGTCAAATGAAAAAACAACACTTTGACTCTAGTATTATAAACTCTAAATGACTTCAAATTGAAAAGTTTTGAATACCAAGTTTGTTCAACTCATTAAGATCTACAATTCTTATTTTGGTCAACTTTCCATTTGAGATAGTTTGGACGGTTCAAATTTATGATTTTTAAATTTCAACGTTTACAAATTAGTTTTCGGAACCGTAGATTGTCTCAAATTGAAAAGTTTTGAATACCAAGTTTGTTCATCTCATCAAGATCTACAATCATTATATATGCCATTTTTCATTTGAAAAAGTTTGAACAAAATATAGTTCAAATTTCACAAGTGTGTGACATAGTTTCAGAAAGTCTGAGATTCAAGAATTTGTGACTAGTGTTTGATAAAACTTTCTCAAATGGGAAAATGAGCTATGTAACAATTGTAGATCTTGCTGAGATGATCAAACTTGGTATTCAGAGTTTTTTCATCTGAGGTCATTTAGTGTCTCATTTGAGCAAGTTTGACCAAGTCAAATTTGGTCAAATGAAAAAACAACACTTTGACTCTAGTATTATGAACTCTAAGTGACTTCAAATTGAAAAGTTTTGAATACCAAGTTTGTTCAACTCATCAAGATCTACAATTGTTGTTTTGGTCAACTTTCCATTTGAGATAGTTTGGATGGTTCAAATTTGTGATTTTTAAATTTTGACGCCTATAAACTAGTTTTCCATTTGAGAAAGTTTGGACGGTTTAAATTTTGAAGCACTAAATGATTTCAAACGAAAAAGTTGTAAACAACAAAGTTTCATAACTTTTTGAGATCTACAATTTTATTTTGATCATTTCTCCATCCAAGGTCGTTTGAATAATATCCTGGATAATATCCGTTTTTAAATATCCGGATATATCCGATACTTATCCGGATTATCCGATATCCGCCGGATATCGATGATATTACATCCGTATTTGATATCCGCCTAAGATATTCATTTTAGTATCCGTATCCGAAAAAAATTACGGATATCCGAGTAACTATCCAGATAAGTGTTCATATTTGTTCGGTCGAACGGACGGTCGAATAAATATCCGTACCGTTTTCATCCATACTCTCTCCCATAGCTTCATAGTATGGCTCATCAACTTAATTCCCCGATAATTAGTACAACTTTGAATATCCCCTTTATTCTTGTAGATCGGTATCAATATACTTCTCCTCCACTCATCAGGCATCTTGTTCGATCGAAAAATATGATTGAACAGCTTGGATAGCCATACTATAGCTATGTCCCCGAGGCATCTCCACACCTCGATTGGGATACCATCTGGTCCCATCGCCTTACCTCCTTTCATCCTTTTCAACGCCTCTCTGACCTCAGATTCTTGGATTCTCCGCACAAAGCGCCTATTGGTGTCATCAAAAGAGTCATCCAACTGAAAGGTTGTGTCCATATTCTCACCATTGAACAATTTATCAAAATACTCTTGCCATCGATGTCGGATCTCATCCTCCTTCACCAAGAGATGCTCCCTTTCATCCTTAATACACTTAACTTGGTTGAAGTCCCGTGTCTTTCTCTCACGAACCCTAGCCATCCTATAAATGTCCTTCTTTCCTTCCTTCGTACTCAAATGTTGGTAAAGATCCTCGTACGCTCTACCCTTTGCCACACTTACAGCTCGCTTTGCAGTCTTTTTTGCCATCTTATACTTCTCTATGTTGTCCACACTCCTATCATGGTACAAGCGTCTATAGCATTCTTTCTTCTCCTTAATAGCCCTTTGGACTTCCTCGTTCCACCACCAAGTATCTTTAGCCTCGCCTCCACTTCCTTTGGTTACTCCACACACCTCTGAGGTCACCTTCCGAATGTTGGTTGCCATCTTCTCCCACATGTTGTTTATGTCATATTCTTCCTTCCAAGAGCCCTCTTTGATAACCTTTTCCCTAAATACCTCTGACGTCTCCCCTTTCAGTTTCCACCACTTTGTTCTTTGAACCTTAGCTTGTTTATCCCTCACGGCACGCACCGAAAAACGAAAAATCGCCACCAAAAGCTTATGTTGAGAAACAACACACTCCGGTATCACCTTGCAATCCAAGCATGCTCGTTTGTCCTTTCTTCTTGCGAGGACAAAGTCAATCTGGCTACAGTGTTGTCCGCTACTGAAGGTCACTAGATGAAATTATCTCTTTCTAAAGAAAGTGTTGGCTATCATCAGGTCAAAAGCTACCGCGAAGTCCAGAACTTCCTCCCCCTTCTGATTCCTACTACCATACCCAAAACCTCCATGAACTGCCTCGAAACCTGCGCTTGTAGTACCTACATGCCCATTAAGATCTCCTCCTATAAAAAGCTTCTCACTATTATCTTCTTATTATTTCTCCTAGTCATTTGTTTCCATGTTGTGTCTTAATCATGTGTCTCTAAAGAGCATATGATAGCTTACAAGGGCTTATCACAGTGATTCTCCTTCGATTCCTCTTAAATGAATTCAAGGTTTATTATTTTTACTATTTAAGATTTGGCTTGTTCTTTTCATGTTTGGCACTACTAATTTGAACTTTGCAAATCCTAATCTTGGCTCAGTTATTCGTCCATTGCTCATTTGCCCTATCACTCTTAACATATTTTGACATGTGATCTTTAGCTCCTAATTCTAGCCAAAAGTCAACAGTGAAAAGGATGAATGGATACATAAATAATCTGGTATAGTACATAGGTGTAGTCCCTGGAACCATCCATGTACTGTGAGCTTTTGAAATTCTTAAATCATAACAGTACTTGCAGGGTGGAGCTGCTAACCTGCTATGACTTGCTTAGTGCAGACCTTGCTTTGCTAAAAGAGTTCCACCATTCTCAGCTGTACGCCTGTATCCTATAAACAACACTGTTTTTTTTAGAGTCTATAAGCGATATTGTAAATGTTATAACCATTAAAGATATATCATTACGATGTTACAGTGTAAATAATACATGTTAAGAATTTTATTGTTTCTGTACTATACCTTGTGAATGTGCACAGAGGATATCAATACCGTGTTACTGAGCTATCGGTTCGCAGGTCAAGTTTGGTGTCCTCTTCAACGATGATCGGTGTGCAAATATTTTTGAAGCACTAGTTGGCACCTTGAGGGCCGCCAAGAAGAGGAAGGTTTTGACCTATGATGGTGAGCTGCTTCTGCAAGGTGTTCATGACAATGTGGAGATTACCCTGTTGCCTCCACCCGCAGTTGCTGCCGCTTAAAGCGCACAGCGCCACCAAGTTCTCAATTCCATATAGTTCATATGCTTGTATTTTGCTGTGCCTAGATTCTCACGAACCATTTGGTATTCCCAGTGGACTGTTATTGTGTGATGTATGAAATTGTGATGCTTAAGAAATTGCCTTGCTTGCATATGGTTGTGTTGCTTAAGACATTCAATGCTGGTATAACATTCATGTCATGAGACATGAAAGCAGCAGGTTGGAGGTAATGGCCGTGGGTTATTGACATCTTTCAGTCTGGATGATTTTCTTCTCAAAAAGTTTCTTTTAAGTTCCATTACTTTCCCCATTTTCCTTTATATTTTTTCTATGGACCCTTATCGACATTTACTTCCCTCACCAGCACCTGTTGCCACCCTGATCAATACATCACCTACTTTAGCAATGACACATAGTACCAGCTGCACCTATTTTAGTTTGGTCAGGTCGTGTCTTATAAACGTAAGTGCATGTAAATAGGTGAAAACAAACAGTGAGGAAGCAGATGGTGTGGAGAGTTATATAAACAGATTTGATTCTTTGAGGAATGCTTCCACAGGGTTGCTTGCCATGTGCACTTTTCTTTGTTTCTACTGGCATGAGGATGGGAGGCACAGGGAAAGATATATGGAAACGTGAAACCCCGCTCCCGATCTGAGCGTCCCCGGTTCCGCCCAGCTGCCGGCGCTGTCCCTAGCGCCGGCGAGGCCCGCTCTCGTTCCTTGTCACTTCAGGGCGCTCACGGCTCACCCTCCACCGCCATTGCAGCTTTAACCGTGTCTCCGGAGGCTCCCGCTGCCCTGTCGTGAGTCGTGACCTCTCTTGCACTAACTACGTAACTCGTCAGCGGTGGTCAAGGCGATGCCGATGGTCACCCCCGGCCCGCCACTCCATCGCCGCCCCTGCCTCACCGTCCAGCCGTCTCTCCCGCCACCACAGCCCGCTACCCTGTCTCTTGAGCTCGTCTAGGTCAATAGAAAGACAGAGCTCAAAAGTTGTTGTGGGGAAGAAGAGTTTCACCCTGTCTGCTATAGCAGATGCAGATCTGAAAAACTTTTATCTAAGCTGTCTTGCAAACGTCTTTGACGTTCAACTATTGTGGTTCCGTTTGCAGGTCAACCGTGTGTCCTCCTCACCTCAATGACGACCTGTATGCTTGCAAACATATTTGAAGCAATAGTTGGCACCTTGGGAGCCACCAAGAAGTGGAAAATGTTGATCTGTGATGGCCTCGACGCTGCTTCTGCAGGGTGTTCATGACAATGTGGAGATATCCCTCTCGTGGTCTTGCCTCGGCTCTTTCTTCCTTCTTGTGCTGCCGCTTCAAGTGCACGTCACACACACACCATGGGTCCCAATGCTTGTAACTTCTGGTGCCTAGGTCCCAGAAGACTGGTGATAAGGTGTGTTCAAATCGCCAGTCCCTGTGAAATTCTATTGGCCGCAGAGGGAGAGCAACGAGCTAGCACGATCACACTCGCTGGTCTTGCACGTACTCCGAACTAACTCCATCTCTCAGCTTCAATATAATGCTCTGCATACCTACGCTCTCCACTTCTTTATTATTTTATTGCTTTCCGCCTTCAACTTAACTGACGATTGGGTTATAACGGGGACGCCCTTATAGTCATTACTACTGTATGTACTACATCTTTAGGCCTTGTTTGCATCCACAGAACTAACAATTACTTGACTAATTTTTAGTCCTTAAGTATCAAACAGACGGACTAATTGTTTATTTCACTAGTCATAGACTAGTTGTTAGTTCACTAGTCCACTTATAAGAGTTAATAGGACTAGTTGTTAGTTCATGGGATCAGTCCTTAGGCGCCGTCTTTATCGACAATGTGTGCAGGAGACAGTCAGCCTCCCGGACAAACTAAAGCGACCTTTAATAAAAAAACAAAAATCATTTATTTTCTTCTTTCACTCTAGTTTGCCTCCTGTCCTGTTGTCTCCAGTAGTATAAACTCGAGTTCAGTTCTTGGCAGTTAAGCAGCATTACGCTGCTGCCAGAAGCTTATTAATACACCACCTGCTCGACCATTATATACAGTTGCTCTCCCTTCATGTCTTCTTCGATCATATATAGTAGAAACCACCCAAACGTTGTGACACAGGAAAGAATGCAGATGATGTGCGGGGACCAAAGTTGAGCCTGAGAAAACACGAGAGAGAGAGAGAGAGAGAGAGCATGCGTGTTTAAATAGATAATCTCTACGGTTCAGTTACTGAAACAAGAATGGGAGGTATTGGGGGAAATGGTTCCCAGGATCAACCTGAACTCCCGATCAGCATTTGACATTGTCTCGAATGCTGGAGCCTACTTCGAATGTTGAACGTCGGATGATGTAGCATGCTGTTTGTGTCTTCCGGTCACAACCTGTGTCATAGGCCGTATGTTTGAATCACTTGGACTAACAACTAGGAGTAGCTAAAAATTAGTCATAGTCCATCCAAAGATGCAGACTAATGGGTGGAGTAGTTGTTACCATCCTCGTAGTTGCTATGAACCTTGTAACTATACCAACAGGCGGATGCATCACATTCAGTATAGTTACGAGAATGGTGTTGACTCAAACCACAAATAGCGTAGGGGCCCTGATATGGAACCAACTCATTTACACAACCAATATATTGGCCCTGAATGGTGGTGGCTGCATTGATCTTAGATTGTTTCTGCTCCTCACTATTTCTTAAATGCAATTTGGTGGTGTTCAATCGCCCTGTTCGGTTGGACTAGTTTGGCTTATAAGCCATGGCTGAAAGTATTGTTGGTTGGTTTGGTGTGAGAGAAAAATACTGTTCGTTGGCTGATAAGCCATGGTTTATAAGCCAAATACGACCGAGCGAACATGAATATTGATTGATGATGTTGTAAAAGGCAATTATTTATGGTTCTGCGCTTCCAAATAGTGCACAGAAAAGGTCAGCCGGCTTGTTCTGCGGTGAAAAATGTAACCAAGATTACGCTGATGCAGGGAGGCAAGATTGAAGTTTCAGTGCTCAGGCAGTTTGAAATCGGATGATACGTCAAACACAAGGTTAGTCACTACAAATTGAAGTACATGAAGTAGACAATCACCCGCAGGACAAGCCCAGTGACTAAATGTGTAAATGACCATACACGCCCAGTGCAAAGTGTGATGACCAAAGATTCTGACATGATATTATTTAGGTCTACTTAATAAGCAACTCTTCAAAAACCATTTATAATATTAAATGTTTTTTCCAGGCAACTTAAATCATCAGCAGACAGCAGTTATGTGTGGTAGCATAAGCAAGTAAGCAACATATATATCTCTAATAATGTAGACTGAGGGGCCTACTCTCCTTCGAGGAGGCTGAACCGGGAACCTTTATTTACGAAAAAAAAACTTATGAGCAGTTAAGCAAAGTTGTACTGGGGCCATACCTAACAATACAACACCAGCCCATCTAGTAACTAATCTAATATGTTGTCCATCTAGCCGTGATGCTGATATATATATATATATATATATATATATATATATATATACCAACAATGCAAACATCACAACTCAAAACAGAGGAAAGAAACCAGAAGAAGAGCTGAGCTTGAGAGCAATGAGTTGATAACATGGAAAAGCAAGAGAGGCAGCATGCGCTTTCTTGTAAAAAAAAGAGGCCGCCACAACAATTTAGCTTGCATATTTAAGGGTGGCAGGCATTAGGAAAATAGTTCTTTGCTATCATGGGAGATGTCGTGCCGGCTCAGTGCATCATGGCTCAAAGCCGGAGGAAAGAGCTTTTCAACGGAGGTGACGATGGTGAAAGTGAGTGTCTATTCATATCTATAAGCACAAGGCCAGTTCTTGTTTGGTGTGGAAAAAGACCAGTTCTTGATTCTAAAACTAGCTGAGAAAGATGATCAAACGAGAAATCTGGCTATTGATTTTGCTAACATATTCATATTTGTAAGCAGAAATGTTTATATCTTCAAATTAATTTCTAAATTATTATAAACCATTAGACCTTGATATATGACGTGTGGTACCCATTCATCTTCCAAAGACAAGTCGCCATTGGTAACCGTCTTTGATTATCGCATTTGTTTTGGTTTTTGAATAGCATGTTGTTCTTGCTTCAAACAAATTGACTGATGTAAATGCTTGCTAACTAGAGGGGAAGTTCAAGCAGTGTTTAAAATAACAGGCTATAGCATTTAGCAAAGAATTCTGATCAGCTGCTATAGCCTGCTACATTTAGTACAACTTTGTTGTGGTGGCACCTGGCATTAGCTGCTATAGCCCCGCTATAGCTTTCTCATTGCCTGTTATTTAAAACATTGAGTTTAAACAATAAAAGAGTATCATTTTGCTAGAACAGTAAAAAAATTATAATTTAGTATGCTTTTATTTAGCAATATTAGGTCCCATTGGTATTATTGTGCATACATCTTTGTTTTTTTATCTACCAAAATATTAGGCCCAATAGGTATTATTGCTAGAACAGTGAAAATATAATTAAGTATGGATGTTTCCACCTACTGAAGCTTTATTGTGTACCTAGTGAAATCATTTGGCGAGCCCGCTCATCAGTGGCGGATCTAGAAATAGCTCAAAAGAACATTTGAGCCGTGTCGGGTGGGGCTAAATGCATATTTTCATGGGCTATCTTGGGCTAGACAAAGGAGTTGTTAAAGGGATTTTTGGGCCGCGCCCCGGGCTGCAGCTAAGGCAGCCCGGGGCCTAGATCCGCCCCTGCTGCTCATTGACTACATAAGTTATTTGTCAGGACTGCACAGAGATGCAATGCTTGCTCTTCCTATTTCCAGCGCAGATCAACCACTCTAATGGCTTGATCGCTTTATGTAGTTACATTCACTACTACAGATTCAATGCCGGCCAATCACCGCTCAAAATCAGAAAATGATTGGGGTCTCAAAAAACCGGCTGTGAAGGTCCATATCACCGCTGGTTGGTGGCTAGAACCGACAGTGATACAACAGTGATATTTCACTGCCGGTTCATGGCTTG